CTTTCTTTCTTTCTTTCTTTCTTTCTTTCTTTCTTTCTTTCTTTCTTTCTTTCTTTCTTTCTTTCTTTCTTTCTTTTTGCACACATATAACACAGTCAGAAAGGAGGTTTAAGAAAGTCTGTTGCCCAGAAATCTCTCACTGCTGATCCAGTCACTGGTGGGGAGAACAATTTTCCAAGAGAAAGTTAATATTTCCAATAGGAATAGTGCCCTATAGAAACTTTGCTAGGAACTAAACAAGTCTACACCAAGGGATTTTGAGCATCAAGCTGACAGTAGCTTGGTTTGTGGAATAGCCAAATCATTCTGGTTTTTGGATGAGGAAGGTCAAATATTCTTTTCCTTCTGATTTTGTCAGGCATAACTATTAAATATGCCACATTCACATGTAAACACACACACACACACACGCCCAGGTCAAATACTATAGGAGTTTTAAAAGCTGGATGCAATAAAGTGCTCAACACTAGGGAGAACTCTTCAAAGGCTCTAAAAATTGACTTTTCTGTTTGAGCAAGACTTTCAGCTCGCTTTCTTCCATGACAAGGCAGACTACTACAGCAATTATAGGGAGAGCAGCGAAGCCTGGCTGAAACCTTTCTGCGCATGCATGCAATAATGACTAATCTCTGAGCTGGTGGACTCTGCTTTCATTCTTTCCAGCTCACAGAGACAAATTCTCAATATTAAATGTGAATTCTCCATTTTCAACTATGGACCTGAGCAAATGTTTCTCAGATGAATCAGAAGCAATGCAAGATGCTATATCCTGCTGGGGTTAAGCTTACAAGGCAAAACTAATCTGCAACTAGGAATTTACCATAGCCATTGACATAAATATATCATGGGTATGCACACAAGTAATGGAGCCTATTCTAATGCAATTAACTACCAATTTAGTGTTAAAACAATGCTAAAATAATATCCTATAAAAACCACTGTTTAATTTGAACTGCTAATTGATCACATTAGAGAGACTACTTACAAAGCTAATTCAGCCTGTTTAAACTTTACATTGGGAGAACAGCCACTGTGAAGTGATCAGCAATGTCAAAACCAGCACTATAACGCAAAGGAGGCAGACACATCTGGAGCTGAGCTGTTATCCGCAAAGCTGTCTTTAGCTTACTATAAGTGACAATTCAAGCTGACAAATACTTAACGGTGGACTAAGCTACAGCAACAAGAAGGGATAGAAGAGATAGGAGCATCTCTTTCTTTCATAAAGAATTTGCAGAGTAAAAGGAGTGAGGCAGTTCCCTTTTGTCCACAGATTTACAAACAAATACAAAAAATAAATAATATTCAAAGACATTACATATGAAAATACTGTTCCCATTTGGGTCAATAACATACACATACAGCATGCCTACATATAGAGAATGGAAAGTCTTCTTTATTCACAGACAGGAAATATGGCAGTGCACTATCAGAATGCTTTGATAATTCTAATTTTTGTTTCTGATGCTGAGATATAGGAAAGGGACCGCATTCACAACTTAGTTAAATACTTCCAGTAGCAAAGAGTTCACTTTGTTCAGGTCTTGTGGTTTAGAGTAGTTAGTGTTCCTCTGCACACGGACCACCTGTGAGGTACCCATTTGTGCCACTGGTCCCATTGGTGTTGGTGGTGGGGTTGTGTGGGTTCTTTGCAGGAAGCACTGAATCTTCCTCATCTGAGCTGGATTCAATATCACTTCGGTCATCCTTGGACACCTGCAGAATGCCCAGAATACAATCAGCTCATGGGAAGTCACCTCTGTTGGGATCATGCCAAGAAGCTCATGCAGTCATACAATATTGAAATAGATACAAACACTGTGAAACAGCTCCATCAGACTAAATGACCCCTAAGTCTCCCTCTTGTTCTGTTAGGCTATGACTCTAAGAATCATTTCATTTTCTCATATGAGGAGAAGGCAGAGAAATATAGTGGATAGTACACTGGACTTGAAGTCAGAAAGGCAAGTTCAAATCCTGCCTCAGATGTTTGTTGGCTTTGTGATCCTGGGAAGCCACTTAACCTCTTGGGGCCTCAGTTTCCCTATCTGTAAAATGAGAGGGTTGGGTTAGATAGACTCCAATGTCTTTTCCAGTTCTAAATCTATGATCCAATGATGAGATAGTACAGCTAGATGGAAAAACTTGCAGTAGGATTGCAAGAGAATTATAGGAATCAGCTGTTAAAATAATGGCACTCAAGTTTAGGTGTCTCACTCAGTCATTTAAAATATAATTCATCAACAGCCTTACCAGACCAAATCCACCAGCTTGGGACTGACAGATTTTAAAAAGGGGAATCTATGAAATAAAGGGATAAGATAATTGGCCAGACAATATTTGACTGGACTGGCCTATATTGTTCTCTAAAGACTAGGACTCTCATACTGGCAGGTCTTACTATGACTTCTTAAAAAGTTTGAATTTGATTTTTATAATTCTAGAAATAGAAGCCATGGATGAAATAACAGAGTCCAGAGAGATATACTGAGGTATGCTAATCTTTTAATATATTTGTTTATTTCACTTAGGTCTTGGTTAGTAAAACATTCTTATGATCCTAATATGCATACAAATTATAGGTCTGAAATGGGTAGATGGAATGTTCAAGCTAGTTAAGGAAGAAATGGTACAGCTGCATTTTAAAGAAATCTTGACTCCAGGAAAAATGGGGTCTGAAACTTTAGTAATCATGGATTACAATAAGACATAAGCAGATCTAGGCATATTCTGTGGAGTTCAATTTTTTCACAAGAGGCATTTTTAAAAGTTATTTAAGTCTGGGGGTAGGGGGCACAACTCTAAGAAAAGACTTAAAATCCCATGGCTAGAATCCCATCCTTATATACTCTCTTATACCTAGGTGCTTAAGAATGCTTAACCTTATTAGTAGAGTCAGCTGATCCTGAATAAATAAAGTTTGGGAAATAACCTAGACCCTGTAACTCTTTTCTAGTGCGGGGGTTGGGGGAGGAAGAGGTAGTGGTCTGCTGCCTTGAAAATATTCCTACTAGCTTGGCACAATGTAAATCTGTCTAACCTTGTTCATTACTTCTAATGCCATCTATTCAAAACTGAAGCTTACCCATTTATAGTAACTACACTGTAACCTCTCTATGATACTATTTGATATACAGCTCATCCATAATGGCCCCCCAAATCTAGAAGGTTTAGTTCTTCAAATACCTAAAGGATGTCATCAGTTTATTTTACCTGTAAGATAAAATATGGCATAGGTCCCTAGCATATTAAAATTAGGTTTTAGGATATGTTTTTACCCCCATTTATCATACATGCTACTACAAACAAAAAGAATCTACATTTGCAGGCTTGAGGAGTTTGGGCTAAATTATATTAAGAAAAATCTATATAAATGCTACCTTCAGAGAACAAAGTAATATAGGACACCAGATTCACTTCTTTCCTCTGGGAAACACAAATCTGTAAGTCATGCTTGAGAAGAAATCTTAATGCCACAGATGAGCTAGGAATAGCAGCTAAGATGCTCTCAAGCATGATATCTATAGTGAGACTAATGCCCTTCTCTTCATAAAATGGGAGAAAAAAACAAAGATGTAGACAAGTAAGGATGAAAGTAATCCAACTGGTGTTGTCCTAGAACTTTTAGTTCACACAACTGTCTGAGTTATTATTTTTTTCCTTCTAAATGAGGCCTTTAAACAAAAGTAAAGCCATTTTGGATAATGGAATTGAAAATTTCCAACCTTTAGGTTTAATGCATACATTTAACCTTTACAAAGGAGCTGGTCATCTGTTTTCATAGCAAAGTTAGATGGCTGATTTTAATCTTCCCTGGAGAAAACTTCAGCACTATGTTATCCCTAAATAATAACGCTGAAGAGGCTGGAGAGGTATAACACTGGATGGCAGGCAGAGAATCCACAGAAGATCTGGCATTGGGTCTCAGAAATCCTGTCTCCTAATCTTATGCTTGGTCCTAAGTACTGTGTTCTGTCATTCTCCCCTGAAGAATGAGTAACTTCATGATCTAAAGCCTAGCATTTTCTACTTTATCCTTGTCAGTTTGCCAAAAGGTTTAAGGTAGATGGAACACATTCTTCTACATCCTGTGGTTTCACCCACATCTTAAGGATCAAAACCCATAGAGGAAGATCAGATAGAGGAGCAAGCAATATAGGAACTATTCTGAAGAAATGTTGACTTATGTTTATCCAAGGGATGGAAAACTGAACACCTCCACACTAGGTTAGATTGCAGGCAGTGGTGTGTAAGGGCATGAAGTGGATGTTATTCATGAGCAAGTCTGAGTTGCAGCATTCAGTTAATTCAATCACGTTAGAAACATATGCATGGAGAATTTTTTTTCTTTAAAGCCCCCTCTAACAGGTTATGGTCACCCAGTATAAGTACAGATAGAGGTCTAAGAAACTTACATGCAAAGGATTCCATTTCCCAGCCTTCCAGGATGGCAGGAGGAAGAGAACAGACAAGTAAAAAAAAAAAGTCACAGAGGATGTTTCAGAGAAATCACTTGTCAAATACAGATAGATGACTAAGGATTAGAATCAGAGAAGACTTCAGGGAAATCAGCCTCATGAGTCTACTGTGAATAATAGAGATCCAATTTGTTTCTACTGAAATTCAGTTGGAAGATAATGCTTTCCTAGTATCACTTTTAAGAAAAAAGAAGTATTCAAAATGGAGAAAGAACAGCATTCAACTAATGCTCTTCTCATAAAGAGAAAAATGTAAATATATTCTCTTCTCAATGAGAGAGAAAAAGCATATAAACAACATGCTATCATTAAATCTAAAACTGTAAATGGAGAACATTTACATGTGAACATCAGTGAAGCAATGCTAATGCTTTCCACCATAAGTGAACACTAAATAAAATAGTAGGAAAGCGCAGCCTTAAATTGACTAAAGTTTACATTAAGTACTAAGGAACAACTGTTTTGATAAAACATACAACAATAAAAGAAGTTATTACAGGATTGGAAGAAAAAAATAAATGCCATTTTCCCCAGAAAAACGGTTGATGTTGCCTTACCTTGCCCTTGGAAATAGCTTTGCAAGCTATCTTTATAATCAAGTAAGACCAGAAGCAATTCAGGACTTGAATTAGCAACAGTAGCAAGTTGAAAACCCACCAGGATGGGTATGGTCCAACAATTTCCCAGCTTTCAAACAATGTTGTATTTAATACCCTAGAGAAAGGAAGAAGGAAATAGTTATCAAACACAGTCCAGGTAACTTTGATATCACTGGTGCTCTTGACACAATTTAGAGTATCCTGCATCCAGGAGATATCCTCCAATCACTGAGTCCCTAGAGCACTGCCTTTCTAAGTATGGCCCACAGATCACTACAAGACTGTGGGGTTCCTTCAGGTAGCCCAAAATCCAGCTGCTTAAAAGTATCAATGTTTGGGGGCAGCTAGGTGGCGCAGCGGAATAGAGCACCGGGCCTGAAGTCAGGAGGACCTGAGTTCAAATACCGCCTCAGACCAAACACTTGACACTCACTAGCTGTGTGACCCTGGGCAAGTCACTTAGCCCCAACTGCCTAAAAAAAAAAAAAGTATCAATGTTTGCACTGTAACATTATCCATACTTTTGTTTTTGGCATGAATAATTAAATTATATTATTGTTCACTAGTATCTCATCAAGGGCAACATGGCACAGTTCCCAGTGGGTGTTCAAGTGAGACAGCAGAAACTGGGTTCAAGTTCTGACACATCTTAGCTATGTGACCAGGGGCAAGTCACTTGGTCTATTAGTGGCTAGGGCAATTCTCTCAGACAAGTTGTGGACAAGCTGTTGATCCGGGTTGTTGAAAAGGAGCTCACCAATGAAATCACATCAGCAAAATCTCATTGATAAAATCATAGGCTCAGACCAAAATCATTTTCATTATACACAAGATTATTCTCGTTACTTCTGGACCATTTTCTGTGGTTTCAAGTAAAGGCAGCATAGTGGTATGGAAGGAATACTTGGTTAGAGTCAGGAGAATTGGATTCTAGTTCCAATTCTTGACAGTAACTAGCAACCTCCAGCAAGTAATGACCTGTCTGAGCTTCAGTTTCTTCAATTATGAAATGATGGAGTTGGACTAGATAATCATAGTCTTAGCTCTGAGCTAGGACCCCAGAGGACAATGAGCCAGCCTTCTCCTGTTACACATCAAGAAACACGAGACCTGGGGAGGTTAAGTGATTTGTCTAATGCACACGGGTAGTGTCGGGGCAGGATTTGAACCCAGGGCCTCTGATCTCAGTGTCAATGTTCTTTTTTGACGTCCTTTCCAACTCTATGATTCTATAGTTCTTAGTTGGTACATTAGGCGGCCTAAGGGTCTCTTGCTCTATTAAAAGAGGTCTGTATAAGGAAAAAAACTTGAGCACAACTGCATGAGAGGCGGCTCAAATTGAACTGTCTTTGTTTTGAAGATGGAGTAAAGGGAGGGAAGAATGAAGAGGAGTAAGAGGAGCAGAAAGGTTTTTCCCCCTTCCTCATTTCCCTCAGCTCCAGTAATCAGCTAAAGTTTGGGTTATTTGTTATAATACACATTTATTTTTTGAACATTTTTTTTTCTGGAGGTGTAGATCATATTCCCTGTGTCCTGCTGGGTTGTTTCTAAAGATGTGCACATAGGCCAGTAACTAACCCCACTACTGCCCATAAACCTGTCTTGCGGTCACACCGAAGAAATGGTCTTATCATCAATTACTCTTTCTCCGGGTAGTAACAGGGGCAAACCAGGCTTGTGTGATGAGCACAGCAGAGCATACTGAAAGCCCCAATAATTTCCTTCCTCATTGATTGTCTCAGAGCCCCGTGCTTATTTTGAATTTCATAGGGGATTTGGATTTTTTTTTCATTTAACAGAAAAGAAAGTTCTACAGAAACAGGAGTTCTGGCTGGACAATACTGTTCATTACAAAAGAGGCTTCATTAGATAACAATACTAGCACATGCCATGGGAATGATAGGGGTACTAGATATGCCCTGTTACACTATTCACACTAATGTGGAGTTAGAACATCTGCCAAGACAAAGGGCTCATACTAAGTTCTGAAATGCTGCATCAGAATTCAATAGCTATGTTATAGCACGCTAGAGTCAAGTGGCTGGCTACCTCCTGATACACTTGGGAAAATATAAGGACACCAAAGGAGGTATCTCAGTGAAAGGCTAGGCATGAAAAATAACCACAAAATACTGCGAATTTAGATTGAGAGAAATATCACACCATTATATGGTCTCAGAAAAACCAAAGAACTCTAGAAATGAGGGAAGAAACCAAAATGGAGATCACTAAAGAGTACACCATTGTTTTGTCACTATATTGACCATTTATAATAGATGTCAAGTGAACCTTTTTTGCTCCTTTTCTAGTGGGTTGAAAAGGCACTGATTTGTCTCTGGAAAAATTAATAAGACTCAATAAACATGTATTAAGTACCTACTATGTGCAATGCATGTACCATGTGCAATATTATATCAAAGTTCTTCAGTCCTTTTCAGGAAATTGTCAAGCAAGTAAGACATACAAGAATAAGAAATAAGTAATAATTGAACTAGAGAGATTACCTTATTTGAAAATTTGTGTTCAACACACATTTTAAAAAAAATTAAAATAAACAGGCATTTATTTCTTGGGCACCTGCTGAGTGTGTGTGTATGTCAGACATAATGCTAGGCACTGGGAATAAAATGCAATAAATGAAAATCCTTAATTTCAAGGAACTCACATTTAAATGATGCACATGACAAGGATGCATATCACTATATACAAAATACACACACACACACACAAAATACAAACCAACACAAAGCAGTTAAATACCAAGTAGTTTGAAGAGGAAGGCATTAACAGTCAGGAATCAGGAAAAGCTTCAAATAGAAAAGGGTGCTTGAACTTTATCTTGAAGGAAGAGAGGCATTTTATGAGGCAAAGGCAAAGACAGGAAGGCAGTGAATTCGGGCATGTGGGGCCATCAAGTCAACAACCATTTCTTTCTTTCTTTTTTTTTTTTTTTCAACAAGCATTTCTTAAGCTCCTACTGTGTCCCAGGAACTATTCTTAGCAATAGAGATACAAAGTAATTAAAAAAAACAATCCTTGTTCTCCAGGGCCTCAAAGTCTAATGGGGAAGACAATATGCAAAACAACTACATACAAACAAGATTTAAACAGGATAAGTTGAAGGTGCCCTAAGAAGGATGGCACTAGGTTTTAGGGGGCTCAGCAAAGGCTTTTCATTGAAGCTGAGACTTTAGCCCAGGAACCTAGAAGGCATTGATGAGGATGGGGAGGATTCCAGGCATGGGAGACAGCCTGTGAAAACGCCCAGAGCTGAGAGATGGAATGTCTTTTGTGAGAAAGCAGGGAGGTCAGTGTTCCTGGATGTCAGAGTACATGGAAGGGAGTAAAGTCTAGGAAGGCTAAGTTGGTACAAATGGGCCAGGTACAGGTGGGCTTTAAAAGCCAAAAACAAGATTTTATGTTTGGTCCTAGAGGTAATAGGGAGATACAGGACTCTGTCCTGGGCCATCTCCTATACTATTTCACCTGCTCTTACTGGCTTCCATGGATTCAGTGATCTCCATGCGGATGATTCGCAATCTACTCATCTAGTGCTAATCTTTCTGCTGACCTCCAGTCTAACATCTCCAATTGGACACCTTGAACTGGATGTCCTATAGACATTTTAAACTCATTATGTCTAAAACTGAACTCATTGTCTTTCCCCCTGAATCCTGCCCTCTTCCTAAATTCCCTATTACTGTTGAGGATACCTCTATCCTCCCAGTCCCCTAGGCTCACACTGTCATCTTCACCTTGCTACTTTCTCTCACTCCTCAAACCTAATCTGTTGCCAAGGACTGCTGATTCTACCTTTGTAACATTTTTCATAATATATCCCCTTCTCTCCTCTGTCACTGTTACCAGCCTGGTGAAGGCCCCTATGATGTTACACCTGGGCTATTACAATAGCCTGCTGGTTGATCTTCTCACCAGAAGTCCTTCCCTATCCCAGTCCATCCTCCTCCCAGCTGCCAAAATAATCTTCCTAAAGTGGAGGTCTGACCACGTCACCTCCCTATTCAAACTCCAGTGGCTCCCTATTGCTTCCAAGAACAAATTCTCTATTTGATGTTCAAAGCTCTTCACAACCTGCACCCACTTCCACCTTTCCATTCTTTTTATATCTAACACCACCTCTCTTACCCCATCCACTCTGAGATCCAGTGACACTGGTCTTCTTGCTATTTCTCATACAAGACACTCCATCTCTTGATTGTCAGCATATTGCTTGGCTGACCCCCATGCCTGTAATGGTCTCCTCCTGGCTTTCTTCAAGTCTCAGCTAAAATCCCACTTTCTGCAACAGAGTCTTTCTTGGGTCTCCCTTAAATCTAATGCCTTTCCTCCACTGGTTATCTCTAATTTATTCTGTATCTTGTTTGTAAATAATTGTTTGCATATTGTCTACCTATTAGACTCTGAGTTCCTTGAGAGCCAGGGCTGTTTTCTGATTTTCTCTGTACCCCCAGGGTTTTAGCACAGTGCTTGGCATACAGGAGGCACTTAATCAATGTTTATTGACTGAATGACCCTTAGAGTTTATTGAATTGGGGGGAGAAGGATGTGACATGGTTAGATCTGCAATGTAGAAAGCTCAATTAACAGCTCGGTGAGGGATGGGTGGGAGTGAGGAGATACTTGAGGTGGGGAGACCAACCAGTAGGTTGGTATACTCTTGGTATAAAGTGATAAAGACTTGCACCAGGCTCACAGCAATACCAGAGGAGAGAAGGGGTCATATTTGAGAGATACTATGAAGATAGCAGGAGCAGCTAGGTAGCTCAGTGCATAGAGTGCTGGGCCTGGAGTCAGAAAGACTCCTCTTCCTGAGTTCAAATATGGCCTTACTTACTAGCTGCATGACCTTGGGCAAGTCTACTTAATCCTATTTGCCTCAGTTTCCCCATCTGTCAAATGAGCTGGAGAAGGAAACTGCAAACCACTCCAGTATCTTTGCCCAGAAAACCCCAAAATGGGGTTACAGAGAGTTGGACACAACTGAACAACAATGAAGATAGTATCAACAGGACTTAGATTGAGGTGGGGGTGGGGAGTAGGGGGGAGACTGGTGTCAAGGATGAAGCCTAATTCTGGGTGACTAGGAGAGAGGTT